TCAGGAAGACGATTCATTTCTCAAAGCTTATATTTAGAAATTGGAAAACGGCGGGATCATTTTTTTGGCAGACCTCTCCTCAATTTGAACCTGAAAGCCGGGGGTGTGGTGTGCTGCGGGAAAATAAACACTGACTGCACCGCCTCATGAATATACAAAAAGAGGCATAACTTCACACCCTGCTTCCCCAGCCAGATGACTGGCCGTGCCTCACAGAAGGCCGCACGATGCCCCTCTGGTGTGTGTTTGATGTAGCGCGTGGGCCAGGAGATCAATGAGGGTGCAGGTGTGCGGGGCAGATGGTGGAGAGGTGATACCCGGGGCGCTGGCCAGGAACACAGGAGCTCCATGAGGGCGGCCCCCGAGGGAACGGAGCCGTATGACTGATGCACTCTGGGAGGCAGATGTGATTTATGGAAGGGAGCAGTGAAAGTGAGCTCGCCGCTGTCTCACACACACTGCTGCTGCGCTTGCAAGATCTCACTCTCTTATGCTGGGCGTTTTAGGACACTTTTTGTCTGTGTTCTCTTAGGACTTCCTCATTAAACACAGTTGCTGGGTGAAATAAAAATGGTTTTGGCCCAAGAGCCAAGTAATGTAGGTCGTTTTCTGCCATGAGTCACGGCGTTGCAGTTTAAAGGTAGAGGAGAAGGCATTGTTTATTGTCCTTTTTATTTTAAAATCATACTTGTAATTTTGAAATAAGGTTTAAGAATCATGAAGAAAGCAATGCAGAATGTTAAATCCTGATTAAATATATTTATGTACTTTTTACAGTATTAGAAACCTTAATACTCTTGTTTGATATGAAACATATGAGGTAAGCAGATCTACAAATCACCTATAGAAACCGGTTTTCTTTTCTACCATTCAAAGGTTTGGGGTCAGTCATTTTTTTGTGTGCTCAAAAAACATTATCAATGTTGAAAACTGCTGTGCCACTTAATATTTTGTGGAAATCCTGATACTTTTTCCAGGATTCTTTGATGTAGCAAGTTCAATTGAACAGCATTTATTTGAAATAGAATATAGACTATGTAATAGAATAGAATATGTTTTAATTTGCAATGTCTTTACTGGCACATCTGATCAATTTAATGCATCCTTTCTAAATAAAATTGTAAATGAATGCATGAATGAATGAAATGAAGGATAGATAAATAAATAAATACGTACATAAATATTGACTCCAAACTTTTAAACAGTAGTGTGCATTTGTCAAAATTGCCATAAAAAACAATCACATTTTGAATGTGGTATCAGACTATTATTGCTTATTTGTGTGTGTGTGTGATAATAATAATAAGAATGATCATGATAATAATAATAATATAATAATAATATTTATTATTATTATTATTGAATAAAATGGATGCTGAATTATTCTGAATTTATTCAAAATATTTCTTCTGGCTGAAATACAGCTAGCATATTTCCTCCTCACACACACACACACACACACACACACACACACACACACACAATATGTAGGCCTATATGTATGTATACATATGCATTTATGAGATAATGCATATATGTATATTGAAATAAAAAGTAAAACTAATCCCAGTTAATATTTGCACCACTGACAGAAACAAACAGTATTTAACAGAGGAGCAATCCAACTTTTATCAATGATCCTCTGAGACCTTGCTTTCAAAGGTGAGGACATCGCCACCTTGTGGTGAAGGTTTAACACCAAGTTGAAATGTTCAACAGCCCACATAGGAAAACTGTGTGGTGCTAATAATGCACAGGAGACGAGAAGATGGCGTCTTTTCCCCGAGTTTAATAAAACGCCTCACACGCCGACGCACTCGTCCACATACATGGGGATCGAGTGAGACGAAAAATGTACATAAGTAAGCATCCAACTCAGGTCACAAACAAGAAGGTATTAAATAAAATGAAGATAAACAGATGTCGGTAGAGCGAGTTATCTCTTCACCTTTCCATCTGGTACAGACACACGCTATGCACATGAGCAGTTGTCAGTCTGCCACAAAACTACCGTAAATGCCTTAGTGGCCGTTGCAAATGCTTGACAGTTATGCTGTGTTCCTTACACAGATTCCTCAGAAAGCCTGACCACAGTCGTCTGCCCATACAGCACTGTACAGTACATTCTCCAAAAATACTATTGCTATGCAGTTTCCCTTTAGCCGTTAACTGAATTTTTTTTAGTCATGTTGGACGCTCAAACACTAAAGCTTTCTTATTTTCTCTCCAGCTTTGATGAGCAAGAAACTCATTGACAGATATAAACATTTGCTTGAATTCATGGATAAAAGAGAGAGGGAGGAAAGACACGCATGCATTGCATTTAAACCTCTCATTGTCTTCACTACAGTGTGTCGTGCCAAAATAAACACTGGTCAGACAGATTGCTCTGTTTCACTGCCAGAACGAAAATAGCAAAGACACAAGAACAGGCTGCATGGGCAGAGGCTAAACGACACTTTTATTTAGCTTTATCTTTCTTTGAGGATTGTTGCAAACTGCAATTTTTATGTTATTTGTCCTTTATAAATATGCACCATGGTAACTGTAGTATCTACAAAATACCAGTAACAACAGTTAATAAAACTGGTGACGTGGTTTTGTCAGTGTCATCAACAAATTATCAAAAATTTACCTGAAATTGTACTATTGTTTCAAGTGGCTGTTAAGATATTAATGAATTATTCTGAATAATTTTGTGCTGGGTACTGATGCAAAACCACAATTGCATTAAAACATCTGTTTTATTGAATGCACATCTGTTCCTCATGTCAGACCCACAATACCAAAAGTCCCGTCCAAGCACATGCAATTAGCATTCCTCCGCGGGAGGCATGACAGCACATCACAGGTCACTTTTTCTCTTTCGACATGCTGTCAGCGAGCACTCACACATGTTTGAAAGGTAGCATTGAGTGAACTTCATCCTCATTGTCCAACTCCCCAATTAGTCCACGTCCTAATTCTAGCATTTAGTGCTGGCATATCATGTCTCTTCTTGTTATCTTGCGTTCCAGACTTTTGTAAATAGTCATATTTAAAACTTTAATCCCCTCAATGGAAGATGACGAGCAGACTGAAAGTCCGTCATTTAGACAGATAAATGTTATCTCAGTCACAAAGCACTCCTCTTCTTTTTAACTGGCTAATGAGTTTGTTCTGCGGACTCCAGTGGAATGTTTCATCCGCAGCCCTTCAATTTGATAATGCTGTACTTTTATCCGAGATGTCCATTCTCTTTAGCGGCAGCGTCTTCGGTAATACACTTGTCCCTCACTTGTTTGTTGCGGCTTCAAAGCAATGCATTCGTGTGTAGGACAGCGTGCTCTATGTGGGCTCAAAAAGTATTATGTTTCTATTTTCCACTATGCTGATTTCTGTGTATTTAGTAGAAAATAGATAAAAGTAGAAGCTTAGTACTGCTGTTTCTGAAAAACAAGTTTGAGGTCTTGCATTGATAGCACACTGGCAGAAAAAAATTATTTGCAACAAAAAATTGTTCTCTGAGTGAATTATATGACAAGTAGAAAACACCAGTTATGATTTATTGTTAGGCATAAACAAAATATAATCCTTATAATCCTCAAATATTTCACTTCAAGGTCTGTTCATTTTCATCTGGATGATCTTTATCAGACTTATATATACAGTGGGGCAAAAAAGTATTTAGTCAGCCACCAATTGTGCAAGTTCTCCCACTTAAAAAGATGAGAGAGGCCTGTAATTTTCATCATAGGTATACCTCAACTATGAGAGACAAAATGAGAAAAAAAAAATCCAGAAAATCACATTGTAGGATTTTTAAAGAATTAATTGGTAAAGTCCTCGGTAAAATAAGTATTTGGTCACCTACAAACAAGCAAGATTTCTGGCTCTCACAGACCTGTAACTTCTTATTTAAGAGGCTCCTCTGTCCTCCACTCGTTACCTGTATTAATGGCATCTGTTTGAACTCATTATCAGTATAAAAGACACCTGTCCAAAACCTCAAACAGTCACACTCCAAACTCCACCATGGCCAAGACAAAAGAGCTGTCAAAGGACACCAGAAACAAAATTGTAGACCTGCACCAGGCTGATGGAAGTCAATGGGATCCAAACAAAATGAAAAAAAAAAGATTTTTTTTTTGTCAAACTCTTTCCCTCGTTCAGTCTCCAAGGGACCTCAGATAGCATAAATAACTTTCTTTAAATGGTTAAAGGGGTCATGAACTGTCTATGTTTTTTATTCTGTACTGTTCTCTGAGGTCCACTTATAATGTTATCAAGATTTTTACATAAAAAATAAAACATAATTTAGAAGTAATACGCTATTTTCTGTCCTGTTTTTGACCCCTTTCATCAGAGCGCTCTGTTTGAATAGGTGTGGCGGATTCTAGACTCGGAAGTAAACGCCCACTGCTATGATTGGCTAACAGTTGTGTATGATTGACAGTCTGCGTCCTTCACAGATGGACGCTGCAGTGATTTAGGCTAAAACCGCATAAATACTCAGTACATATCAAGCGATCTGGTTAACAGACAAAGCAATAGCGACCACCTAATGAAAACAATAGCTCACACTTGTGTGCGACATTACTGTCGGATCCAATATAGTCGGCACAGCATCGTCTATTAGTTTCAGTCTTTCTGAAAATCCCACGTCGAATTGTATCTTCAATAAAACGAAAAATCTTTATTGTTTAGTTTCTGCGTTGACCTATGTGTTCGCTTCTCTCGTAAAAACTGCATGCAAAAATTGGTGGGCGGGGCTAATCAGACAGTGATGTCAATCTTCTTCTGCAGAGGCGGAGCTTAGCCACAGTATTATACATCATAGAGTAGCACATTCCACAAGATGTGGTTTGGCAGACTGCCTTCAATATAAGGGACAGTTCTGAAACATAAAGGATGTTTTTATAGTACAATGACCTCTCAGGGAATTTTGTTTTCTCTGGTCATGATCCCTTTAAAATACTCTATTAAATACAAACTTTGCTTTTTCTCACAGGAGGACATGTGTGGTGTTCCACAACTAAAAACATCATGAAAGGAGACGAACTTGCAGCCTGTGTGGTGGATTTGCACTCACATCTTCAAACACCAGCCCAAACTCCCTACGGTCAAGGGATGTACCCGGCCCGACAGCTGGACGGCATTCAACTCCTTCCTCAGCAAGCATCCATGGCGTCCATACTGCCCGGCGCTATCATCAACAGTGAGTGCTGCATTATCAGGCCTCTGCCACAGTGGATAGACTGATTAATGTGCTTGGTTAAAAATGGAAATCCGTGTCAAAGAGTCATCACAGCTCTGATGTGCATGTTTGCCATGAATAAGATAATTACCAAGGGTCGAGGCTGACCTTCAGTTTTGCACGAATTAGATATTTACCCTCTTCCATTCTCTAATCATAGTTAACAAGAATTTGATGCAAACAACAGTGCATTTGCATTGATGGGGTCTATAGGGTTGAGTTATGTGGTTCATCCCTTTACTGCATAATCAAAATTACAGATATATTGTATCCCAGCATCCATCTGGGACTGATGTTCTCTTGAGCCTAATATTTTTAGAATTTATTTTATAGTATTTGTTATATTATTTGAATAATGCTTTCTGTTGTGAATTGCTCAAAAGCATTTAAACCTGGACAAATATATAGGATTTTGGAACTTTTCAAAAAAGAAAAGTATATTATAAAACAAATAAGAAATATTTAGGATTCTGCACTATTTCAAGGTCACTAATCAATTTTGTATAAAATGACAAAAAAGTAAAATAGAAGCAGTTTTCTAGTGGTCTCAGATTTCTTGACCCCAATGTATTTAACTTCTAAAATTTTAGATGCTGGCTTTTCACAAGCTTTAGATAATACAATATGGATATGCTTGTGTCCATTTCTGTCTTTGTAGAAGACATCTTCCCCTGCAAGGCTTGTGGCATCTGGTTTCGGAGTGAAAGAAACCTCCAGGCCCACCTTATGTATTACTGCAGTGGGCGACAAAGGGACCCTGAGATGGTGGCAGAGAAAAACACCAATATCAGCCATCAAATGCTCCGCAATTGCACATACCCCCAATGCAATATGAGCTTTGCAGGCTCGCATGCCTTGGAAATGCACTTATCCACACATAACAGTGAGTAGACCAAGAAGACATTCTTTTTCAGATAACCATTTGACCAGTCACAAATAAGAAAGACACACTTGTTTAACTAGTCTGGTCAGGTTGGTTTGGTTCTGGAGTGCCGCTGTCCTGCAGAGTTTAGCTTCAACCCTGTAGCCTTAGTAATCCTGAAGACATTGATTAGCTTGTTCAGGTGTGTTTGATTAGGGTTGGAGCTAAACTCTGCAGGGCTGCGGCTCTCCAGGACCGACGTTGCCTATCCCTGGTCTAGTTTAAGGTCCAGGAATACTTAACTTTCCGTGTTCCATTCCATCTCGTGCACAGCTGCGTATACACAGCTTTCAAAGTATACTCAAATGTAGTTGAGCACACATGGACAAGTTTGACACATGCACTGTACCACCTAATAGACTCTCAACATTCATCTCGCACATGCGCTGTTGTGCACGGACAATCCACGGACACTTCTGATGATTAAAATGGCATCACACGATGCAACGTGAATGGACGAAGTATACCTTGGGCTTTAGGGGTGTCCAAACCTGTTTCTGGAGGGCCATTGTCCTGCAGAGTTTAGCTCCAACCCTAATTAAACACACCAGCTAATCAAGGTCTTCAGAACCACTAAAGCTAGACCACTAGAGCTGTTTGGAGTTAAACTCTGCAGGACATTGGCTAGGAGCAGGATTGGACACCCCTGGTCTGATTGATTGTTTTAGATGAGTTTTGGGAACGTGTAACATGGTCAGGCTGCAAGACCAGCTAAATCAGCTTAGGCTGGTTTGAGGTGTTTTTTGGTAGTTCAGTATAGAGGGGACAGGGAATTATGGGTATAGTGCAGGGGTGTCCAAACTTGTTCCTGGAGGGCCGAGGTCTTGCAGAGTTTAGCTCCAACCTTAATTAAACACACCTAAACCAGCTCAACAAGGTCTTCAGACTCACTAGAAACTTCCAAGTAAGCGATTTGGAGCTGGTTAGAAATAAAATCTGCAAGATGTTGGCCCTCCAAGAACAGGATTGGGCACCCCTGGTATAGACGATCAGGAAATGTTCCAAACTGTATTTCAGCTAAAGTTATCTGCACAAGCACCATGACTCAACATAGAGGAGCCTTGGTTAGACTCAACTTTGTATTGTAGTGTTGCTCATTAACACCATTTCTTCTTTCTTTTTGTTTATCAAGGTCTCAAGTTAGATGAGATAACCACTGGAAGCACCTTGAAATGCACAATTTGTGGCTACACTGCAGAAACCCTTATGGTACTCCAGCACCACATCCTCTCCCATCTGTCCCAAACCGGCCTGAGATGTGGTCACTGCCATTTCACATTCCAAACCCCCAGAGAACTGGTCAAACACCAGGAGCTGCATGGACATAGCTGTACGGTCAACAAACTCAAAGAAGACAAAGCTGATAACTCTCCTAGCAGCACTGCAGGCAGTCCTCAACAAGTCAGAGCTAATGCAAACACGAAAGACCTTCAGGAAAGCACAGTACAACGTGATATAATTCAAATGTCAGAGCTGGAAAGCACGGAAAGTATCCAGACATCCACTAAGGGTGAGGGAAATTCAAGAAACAAGGCTAGTGTTTCATACTCCAGAGTAAAGTCAGAACCTTCCAGTCCCCGTTTAGCCTCTTCACCCATTCAACACCACCTGCCTCCTGCATTTCCCTTACCCCCCTTCATACCACATGCCCCGTTCTCACAGGATATTACGGTGGGCCCGCAAGCATCTGAGATACTGGCCAAAATGTCAGAGTTAGTCCATCGCCGGTTACGTCACGGGGGAAATTCTTACCCTCCAGTCATGTACAGCACACTTGTGCCAAAAGGGGCAACATGCTTTGAATGCAATATCACCTTCAATAACCTTAATAATTATTTGGTGCACAAGAAGCACTACTGCAACAGTCGATGGGAAAACACACACAAGCCACATGACTTCCCTGGACTTCTGGATAAACCAGCAGGCACTGTAAGCCCGAAAATCGGAGCTAGTTTAGCTGTTATGCTAAATGCCGGCCATCCCTCTGAAGTGAAAGGGCATGAGCCTAACCCTTGCAATCCCATTGCAGGTGGAAAAGTGACAGATGAACTGTCGGTGCAAGTTAAAAAAGCGTCAACTCCATCTGGTGCACAGGAGAGACCAAATGGTACACAGCTGGATTTACAAAACCAGAAAATGCCACCCACCGAAACGGACCCCAACCACACAACATGCGACGCCTGCAAGATCACTTTTAGTCGACATGAGAACTACATGGTGCACAAGCAGTATTACTGTGCCACTCGGCATGATCCTCAAGTGAAACGCGCAAACAATAAAGGAGCAGCCAATCAGAAGACAGTGCGTCCTCGTAAAAGAAGAAAGGCATATGAGCTGGCTACTCCTGAACAAGAACAAATGCCTCTTATGGGTATGCCATCATTTCTTGGTATGCCCACTATAGGAGGTCCATACATGTCAAAGGACACAATGGATAGCTTCAGGGACCATCAGAGATACAACATGATCCAGGGGTTAGTACCCAAATATCCAGAGGCTTCATTGACAGTCACAAAATCAGCTCTTGTGTCAAAATGTAATACAATCCTCAAGGAAGAAGGTGATGCACCTATAGATCTCAGTAAAAAATGCATGCCACAGTTTGGCAACACTTCGGTTTCCTCTAAAGGACTTATGGATTATCATGAGTGTGTTGTGTGCAAGATAAGCTTCAACAAAGTTGAGGACTATCTCAAGCACAAACAGAACTTCTGCCCAGGTACTATTTTGCAAAACACTTCCACTGAGAACAAAAGCATCAAAAAGGAAGGTCCTAGAAATACTAGCACCCTTTTAGAGAGTGCCCTCTTTGAGCTCCCAGCTCTACATGGAAAGATTGAGCATCCAAATGCAACTTCTGACATCCAAGCTTCCAGTGAGGAACAACAAATCCCAATCAAAGTTGACATGAGGAGTGTGTTTCAGCCCTCTGGTGGTTACCCAAGTCCTGCTAAGAAAATGAGACCCGATGAGCAAATCTGGCCTTACTATGAAATCAAAGCCACTGATTACGCTACAGGGATGCTGGTCTCACAAAGCGAACGGAGGCAGAGTCCAAATGAGGGCAGTGAAGGGGAAAAAGACCAGCCGATGCCTGATGGTAGCCATCTTAGCACAGATGACCCTAAGAATCAGAGCAAGTCTTCATCCTTAAAGGACAATCTTGACCTTGAGGACAAGATGAAAGATGCTGGAAATAAACAACATGGTTCCCCTACACCGGCGAGCCATGCAGACAGTCCCATCAACTGTAAGGAAAGCACAATGCTGGTGCCATCTTTAAAGACTGAGGAAGTCTCAACAAGCTTCAAAAGAGTGTTGAATGGGTCCATTGTCACCACAAGTAACGTAAAGTACTGCCGTCCATGTGACATCCAGTTCAACAACCTCTCAAACTTTATAACACACAAGAAGTTCTACTGCTCGTCACACACAGCAGAGCATGTGAAATAGTGGACCTGCACCATGTCTTAAATCTAGTCCACAGCAGTATAAAAGTTAGAGCTGTTAACCAGCATCACATCTTGAGTTCACATGGCCCGGCACATTATAAAGGCGGGCCCAAGCCCCTAAACATGTAATAAATGTAAAGACACCAGGACAACTTACCCAGTTGTCCCCCTTGATGATGACCCTGCTGTTTTGAATCGGACAATGGACACTTTTGTTTTTGATGACTAAAAGTGTCCATTTGCCCCCTCTTCTTTAAAGTGGACATATTAAATTTTTCACAAGCACCAGTTTCTCCCCTTGTGGTCAACAACATAAGACATTTTTACGATTCCATGCTGGTGTACTCAGCAGCAGGAGGACAATCAAATCAGGAGATTTATCCTACAGTCATTTATTAGAACCTTTTAAAATATTTCTTGGGAATACAGTGCGTTGATAGTTTTTTGTGTTTTTTATGTATTTATTTATTTAATAATAGTTGCAGCTCTAAAAAAATGCAGATCTGAGATGAAAAACAGGTTTGTAAAAGTTCTCTTTAATGTTTCTTTTACAATTACAGAAAGAAGCCACATGAATGGTAGAAACTGATTAAAAAGAAAAATCTACAGATAGTGGAGTAACCTCTGGCTGACTAATGTGTCAACATATCCTTAAATATGGCAATCAAGTTTTCTGAATTAATAATTGTCAATACATGTAGAGTCTAGTTTGTCCTTGATGTTTCTTTATGCTTCCCTATGTTTTTCTTGTCAATGCAGAACTCTTCTTAAAAAGTGACCTGTATGTGTGTTTGTTGATTCGTTATCTCTTTTTAAAAAATATTTGGCTTCTAATGCAATACTTTTTAAAAGATGAAACATTATTTAAAGCAGTATTATGGAAGGGTAACTTTTTTACTTGGACCCCCAGAAATCGTCTGTGTGAAGTGTTTACTAAAGTCTTGCTGGAGAAGGGTTTACACTTGGTATGGATGAGTCGTTGTAATCTTTCCTACAGAAAATAATAATAATAATAATCTGCTCAAAAAAAGAAAAAAAAAGTCAAAATGTGTTGCTATGCATGTACCTGTATGGAATGAAATTCCAGAAATGTGGGAAATGTTATTTTATGTGACATAAAAATTAAAATTCTAATCTCAGGACAGCAGTGTCAATGAATTTGCTATGTATCCTCTCTTTTTTTATCATTACTGCACATATTTAGTTCAGGACAATATCTATAGACCAGTGGTTCTCAAATCTGTCCTGGAGTACCCGCAGCCCTGCATATTTTGTATGTCTCCCTCATCTATCACACCTGATTCAACTCATCAGCTCATTAGTGGAGACTGCAAGATCTGGGGCAAGTTCAAGCTCAAACCGGTGTGCACCGTTTTGCTACGGTTTTCGGGTTGAACGACATGTTTCCTGGAAACGGTGTGCAACGGGGTTTGAGATACGTTTTCTCTTGTTTGGTGGGTGTGTCAAACATGTCAGCCCAATCAGCAGCAACATGTATGTAAACCACGCGGTATTAAAGAGACAGCTCGCACAATGTAATTAACATCCAAATAAATTCACAAGAGCAAGTATATTGTTTGCACATGTTTATTTACATTAAAGGCAAAATAACTGAAATAATAAGAGCACAAGTATAGATCTGGAACTTCTTTAAGTCTTTCTAAATATCATTTAGTAATTGCAATGTCTTCTGGTCCATATCCTTTCCTTAGGAAGGTGTGCTAAATACTGATTAATGTAACATAAAAATACTATACATATTTATATATTTTGCTATTGTATTATGGAGTGACACTTTCATAAACTTTTCTATACCCCTCTGATTATATAATGGTAAATATTACAATATCATAGCACAACAACAGTGATCAGCAATAATGATAAGCCTAATACTCACAATAAAAATAATAAGGTCATATAGATCATAACACAGTCTCGGAGGTAAGAAGTGGATTATCCTTCACCTGAAATGTTTGTCTTTTCATCCTGAAATGCGAGGCAAATGTTGGATCACAATAATTAGGAACCACAGTTTCCACAAATCCCTTCATTCGATTGGGATGTTCTCTTTTATTCTGGAGGGCAAGGGCAGTGACTGTACCATCGAGCGTATTTTGCAGTATTAAACACGTATTTATACCGATTTCATCAGGCTCCGAAAATTCTTCAAGAAGAGCACAAAGAATGGCCTTCTCAGCTGCCATAGTTGCAACTCTTGAGTCATCAGAAGAGAGTGTTCAACGCACCACTGTTTCCGTTTAAAACACGTTTTGCACCGTTTTTGTCGGGGCTGAACGCAGCCCTGAAGTGTGTCAGATATAGGGAGACATACAAAATGTGCAGTGCTGGGGGTACTTCATGAAGAGGTTTGAAAACCACTGCTATAGACAGTAGGAGTGGGAATGGCCAAATGAACTAGCACCACCTAGTGTTTAGTTATGATTCAAGACAAGAAATCTTTACATTTTAACTAGAATGAGTCTGCAGCTCCTGCAATAAAAAAAGCAGATAAATAGTTTGGCGAGTTACATTTGACTGAATGCTTGGATCGTCATTGCTGCATTTTTAAATCCTAAAATAAACATAATGGCATTCAGATGTTTTCTCTCAAATCCACAGCAGATTGTAAAAGTTTCATTAGTTATGTCAACTACTGTGATAACTGCTTACACCAGTGTGCCTCAACACTGCACGTTTTAAATGTTTCCTTAAACAAACACACCTGATTCAGGTCACCAGCTCATTAGGAGAGACAAAACCTGAAATTAATATGGCTAGCAAAAGAGACATTAGGATCTTTTGAGATGAACACATCCCAGAACATCACTGAAACGCAACAGTGACTTCACACAGAGAAAACCTGAGCTAGTGTCAATTTCTACTTATGATTCATTTTTGCATTTTAACATATAGTGACCAATGATGCTGTAAAAAACCTTGACCTTCTTGACGCAAGGCACAGCTGAGCTGTCGTACAGCTATCCTGAGAACAGGAGAATAAGATAAGAAATAATTAAAACTCTCCTTCTATACAAAACACTTGATTCATGTGACTGCATGATGATCAAATTACATTAGAAAAAAAATGTCTAATGGTGTTAAGTGGGGTAAAGTGTGTCCTGATGTAGGCATTTATGTAGACTGCATGACTGCTTCATTGCCATCTCTGCGGAAACGGTATGATTCTTTGTAAAGTTGTCATTGTTTAGCATTTCAAATATATACAGTAGATACTGTTTTAATTAGGAGAGTGAATGTGACGTTTGCTACTGATACTTCTTGATAGTTTTCATACTGTGGCAAAGACAAAAAAGCCGGACCGACCATTTTGGGGGCCCTAAACAGATTTCAAGATGGGCCACAACATACTCGTCTTTCACTGACAGACTACATCAGACAACCATAATATGTCAAATTAACAATAAGATTTTTTGGTTATGTGTTTAGACACAATACACTAATTCCCTCACCTTTTCATTTTCCGTCAGTCATAGTACACGATGTAACTACAGAAGAGTCAAGTTTTAAATAGGAAAAGGATAAGAAACTCTTTGGTCATTTTTGAGCGAGATGCTAACGGTCCAATCAGATTCAATGATCTATGCTAAGCTAAGCTAAAAGTGCTACCGCCAGACCCGGAGATCGGCTGAATGGATTCGAAAACGGTAAAACTCAACTGTTTAACTCTAGGGGAGCTGGAAAATGAGCCTATTTTCAAAAATAGTGGAGTGTTCCTTTAAGCTAAGAGTAAAGGGGCGGGGTTGACCTGTTACTATGGATGATGTCAGCATGCTTAAACACTATGCACACAGAGATTGGCTGATAGTCTCTGTCAGAGATTTATTCATAGAAATATTGCAAAGTGCAATGTTATGTTGCCATATTCAAATAAAGATTTAAAAATAAAAAAGTTAATTGCCACATTCAAAGAAAGATTTTAAAAGGCAGGCTAAGTGTGCTTATGCTTCCCGTAAACAATTAGTGACTATGCATATAGACAGCCTTTCAATCAACAGAGTAGAATAATCATGGCTGACAGTAAGACGTGCAAATGTAAAAGAAAATCAAACTGGACGCAAGCACAGCTGTTACTTCTTGTCCAACTGGTTAATGAAAACAAGGACTCTTTTTTTCCTTTAAAGATGATGTTGCATTGATGTTTCCTAATCAAAGGAAATTCTGGAGTTGGAATAACCTCCAAAACCAAAAGTGATACATTATAAAAGCTCATTATCGTCAAATACTTCTAAAATGTTTACGTTCCGAGGCAGATTGCCAGCAACAGCCATTTTAGAGTAGTTTGTGGCTTGGTCTTAGTGACTTGGGAGTCCTCTTCACTACTCCTAACCTTTCACAGATTTAGGAGCTAGTTTTAGTGCTACAGCGCTTTGTGAAATAGACTCTTAGAGCAAATTTAGGACTGACACGCCCATTACTTTTAAGATTTTCTCCTAAATTGACGAGATATGAGCTACTTTTAGACTTAAGATGTTTTGTGAATACGGGCCCTGAAATCTGAAGGATCCTCTTTCGAGTGACTGGGCTTCAGTACTGTTCAATCTTTAGTTTTCTCCCTCGCTTGTAGAGATATCAGCATGATCTTTGAGAATGGCTCTCCAATGGGTTTCAGCTGCAAGAAGAGTGAACAAATTCTGTACAACTTCAAACAAGTCGCTACTTGAGGAGACACGACTCACACGTAAACCTTATCTGAATGCACGGCATGGGGCCCCCTGGTGGACACAAGGTCCTTATGCAGAGTTTTATTACTGTACTTGCTGATGCAGTGAAACCCTTGTTTCCAGACTCCTGCGGCCCTGTCTTTGCATGGGCCTGATTTAACCTTCTCTTTGCAATTTACATTTATGCATTTGCCAGGCTTAAGACAAAGACAGCTTCTCTTAATCCGAGTATTTAAAAGATGTGTTTTGTGTTATAGGTTGTGCATTGTCAAAATCTTCACTTAGCCAACTTTGATGGTTGTAGTGCAGGTGATAATGACTAATCTTTGCAAAACAATTCACACCGGAATCGATAAAAAGTGCATTTCGTTCCACACACATGCTTCATAATCAAGTCATTTATTCAGATATTTAATAAAGGATGACATTGCATTGTAAACATGCATGCAATTTGTGCAATACTGCAATAGGTTTGTGCACCATTGCTAATTATTTCAACTATTAACAACCGAATAAAAGAAACAGTAACACATGAATTATTCTGGAGTCCAGGAAGTTTATTTTAAGATAGCTGCCTATAATTTATATAATTGAACATGATTTTTTATTTATTTATGAAATGATATTTATAATATAGGCTAAACCATAAATAGACTTTTTTTGTTTATAAATTAACAATGTATTAGTATGAACACAAACTTTATTTAAAAAAAATAAAAATAATAATGTATCGATTCCAGTGTGAATTGTGCATTCAGAAAAAAACAAATTTCATGAAGAGTGTTAAATAATTAAATTAGTTTTAAGGATTAAAGTTAAAAATTAAAGCAGCGACTTCTAAGCAGCTGTGTGGCGTTTTCACAATCACGACAAGCGCGGGGACTTTTATTCTGGAGGACAGCAAACGCGGGACTCTTACTTTGACCCTCGCATCTCTTCTGGTTGCTGCCTCTCCACGCCGAGCTGCTGCACCGGGAAAATGTCTCGAGTTTACGTGGGAAAATTGAGCTACCGCGCCAGAGAGAAAGATGTGGAGAGGTTTTTTAAAGGCTATGGGAAGATACTGGAAGTAGACCTGAAAAACGGGTGTGTGGTGCTCTCTGTGCTCGAGCGAGCGGCATGTGCAGGCGAAGCAGCGACTGAGTCTTCAAGAAGGAGAAACTCTTGTTTCTTTTGCTCCGCGCGAATCAAAAGAGCGCTCCAGCGTGGATCAAATAGCCCTGATAATCAATTACGCGTAGAAATGCGTTTGCAAACATAAAATCGGAGTTGAATCCGTGTTTTTAAAGCAGGTTTGTTTTAGCGGTGTTAGCCCAGCAGGCTAAACTCCATTGTTTCCAGGCTGGCCTCGATCGAGTGCTTGCTTTTGCCTTTTATAGCTCCAGCCACTAATAATGAGATCTAGTTGATATTTAATTTTATTTTATAAATACAGTAGGGTCCAAAAGTCTAAAGCCCTGGTGAAAAAGACTTTTTTTTTTTTTTTTAATTTTTCTAATTTTTTACAAATTATGTGATCAACAATTTGAGTGAAAATATGAGTATTAATGAAAGCATGGTTGTAGTTGCACGCTGGTCAGGGTTTACGCAACGAGTGGAGTTCACGTTATCTAGCGTTTCAACTGTTAACCCTCTGTACGCCGTTAGTGCTTGTTTTATGCGCTTGCTTGTGTAATGTTAATGAATTTGTATTGTTCATAAACATATGGAGGCCTCTATGAAAGCGCAACGATGTAAATAATGTCTGTGCCTAAAGAAGAAAAGGGTACAACGCTTTGGAGAACTCGTGCCTGAACTTGCTGATTGATTTGGAAATGTGATCCTGGGCCACAAAACCATGAGGTTTAATGCTTTGAAATTGAGATTCATACATCATCTGCACGCTGAATAAATAAGCTTTCGATTGCTGTATGGGTTGTGCGATAAAACTATTTGAAAATCTGGAATCTGAGGGTGCTAAAAAAAAAAAAAAACTCTAAATATTGAGAAAATCGCGTTTAACCCTTTAGCAGTCACCCCCCATTTTTTTTAAAATCGGAATGCAGGTGCACTATCCAAACTTAAATAGTTGTAATTTATGAACACTGTGGAATACAGACAAAATCAGCAAATTATCGCAAAAGTGGAATTTTTTCAAAAAATTTAAGTATCAAAGAGTTAGTTTAAATTTACTGTAAAGAAAATGCACTTTTATTTTTATATATATAATAAATATTTTACATATCAGGTTTTACTCTAAAACTGGTGTACAATTATAGCCTTATGTCTAAAGTTATGTTCCAAATTTGAAGTTGATATGAAAAAAATGGAGGTTCCTGTGAGATTGTATTTAGGGCGTTATACCACAAACAGCCACCGGGTGCCATCCAAACGCCATAGAATTCTTTTGTATGCATTTTTCTGTCACAAATGTCTAGATTGCTCTGTCAATATTGATTTTAAAAGACCGTAATTCATTTTGTAATATGACACTTGACACCGCCCACTAAGGGGGAGGAGACCGCTAAAATATATATATAATAAATATTTTACATATCAGGTTTTACTATAAAACTAGTGTACAATTATAGCCTTATGTCTAAAGTTATGTTCCAAATTTGAAGTTGATATGAAAAAAATGGAGGTTCCTGTGAGATTGTATTTAGGGCGTTATACCACAAACAGCCACCGGGTGCCATCCAAACGCCATAGAATTCTTTTGTATGCATTTTTCTGTCACAAATGTCTAGATTGCTCTGTCAATATTGATTTTAAAAGACCGTAATTCATTTTGTAATATGACACTTGACACCGCCCACTAAGGGGGAGGAGACCGCTAAAAGATTTTAAAGTACCATTTCCATGGTAACGCAATGTCTGATTTCGAAATGGTTTTCACAGGATGAATCTCGGGCTTCTAAGCTTTCAAATGATATATGACTAATGATGATTGATAAAAGATTTGATAGAGAAAAAAAGACAACAACAAAAAAGAGCGCCAAACGTCCCACAGGTGGGACGGTGAGAGTTAAGGGGTTAAATTTGTCCAAGTTAAGTTCTTAGCAATGTCTATTACTAATCAAAAATTACGTTTTGATACATGTACGGTAGGACATTTACAAAATATCTAAGTGGAACATGATCTTAACTTCCTAATGATTTTTTGGCATAAAAGAAAAATGGATAATTTTGAGCCATACAATGTATTGTTGGCTATTGCTACAAATATCCCCGAGCTACTTATGACTGGTTTTGTGCTCCAGCGTCACAAATATATCAGTACAACAGAAAATTGTACTTATCTAGCCATTTAAAGATGTCTTTAAAAATTAAATTAAATATCTGAAACGTCTGATTTGATGATTAGAGACGGCTGGATTTTGTGTTTGTTATATCATAAATCTCTCCATCTCTTCAGATATGGCTTTGTGGAGTTTGATGACCCCCGAGATGCAGATGACGCTGTGTGCGATCTGAACGGCAAAGACCTGTGTGGGAAGCGCGTGATTGTGGAGCACACCATAGGACAGCGGCGCGATGGTGGCACTGGCAGCAGATCTGGAAGAAGTAAGATACTCATTTACTCGCTCTTCCACAATACTATATACCAAAAACTACTTATGTGTCATAGGAACATCTTTTTCTTTGGTTGAAGTTGAATTGTACAAACACTGAATATTTTCAGGCTTCTCAAATGGAGAGTTTGGTGCTCCACATGCCCGTTATAATGTTTAATCCTTATACCAGAATAGTTCACTCAAAAATAAAAATGTGCTGTTAATTTACGCCGTCTGCCATGTAGCTGTCATTTTCTTCTTCAGTAGAACGGTAAAGATTTTTAGCTGAAGTCGTGGTCCTTGTTTCGTTAAGTGTAAGTCAGTGGTTGCCCGTATTTGACATTAAAAAGCATATCGATTAATGCCTGTGGCTCCTGATGACATATTGAGGTCTTATGAAGTGAAATGATCATCCTGTGCAAGTAATTGAACATTGTTTACAACATTATTAACTGTATCCATAGCCTCAGGCAACAGAGAAATCTGATTCTTTTCCGCAAACTGGTTGTTTTAGACCATTCGTTTCAATGAACTGGTTCAGTTCACTAGTTTGTTTACATAAACGCACAATGATGTAACACACACAATTATATTAATAAAGCACCCAATAATGATGTGAAACATGGTTGTTTTCCATGCCTTAAGCATGCAAAGTGAAGAAACTAGTCTTCATCAGTTAATCTCTCTGCATAAATGCACATATCACTAGCTCATTGGTCTACACGTTTTCATTTTTGGGTGAACTGTCCCTTTAAGAGTGTCCAGTCTCTGTATGAGAAGCCTGAAAATTGTATGTTAGGGTGTGTTCGCACTTGTCAACGAACCCTGGTGCGATTGCTCTGTTAGTGCGGTTTGTTCGAGTAGGTGTGAACGCTGCCATCCGAACCCTGGTGCGCACTAGGGATGCTCCGATCCGCCTTTTTCGCCTCCGTTTCCGATACCTAGGGTTCGATATTGGGCGATACCGATCCGATACCAGTGAAGTTTTTTCCCCTCATTTAAATAAATGTAGAATTTATATATCTCTGTGTGTGGAACTGATAATCATTCTTTCACAATCTACTAGATACAGACTACTTCATTATAAAGAAAAATAAACAATAAATATGAAAAAATATAGGCCTATGTATATTTATAATCTATGACAAAAATGTATCATAAACTAGGTTAGTGGATAATTCGGCAGCAAAAGTTATTCTAGAAAAATCAGTGCGCAATAATTTTAGAAATCCAAACATTTAGTGAAAAAACTAAATTTTGTGGGGAACAAATAAGTGTTGCAAAACTGTTTTTATATTGTCTAGGAGTACGAAGCGCTTACAATGTGCGCATCCGGTGTGCAGCCTGACGCCGTGTTGCTTCAAGCGCATCATTCTGCACACCGGATGCACACATCGTAAGCGCTTCGTGTTAAAACTGCAAAGCACAAAGGGAAGAGAAATTAATGCGTAGTGTATTATATCTGTGCAACAGTTATTGAGCCTTTCTTTTAACAGTTTTAAATTTCAGTTACTGTGCACGTTAAAAACTATTTATAGTCTTTTCTACGCCCGTGTTTTGTTCTCACAGACACTCGGTAGCAAGTACCAAAACAAGAAGATAAAGTCCTTTTTGCAAAATCATAGACATGTATTTACAAATCCAGTATAATGGGAACACAGAATGATCTCGGAGAGAGCTTTACCGAGCTGACTGCTTGGATCAACCCTCTCTGACCGATACCCGATCCGAGAAAAATGGCACTATCGGAGCCGATACCCGATATGAATATCGGATCGGCGCATCCGTAGTGCGCACCAAACAAGCGGACCGAGACCGCTGAAAAAATGGGTCTCGGTCTGCTTCCAAACGAACTCTGGTGCGGTTCGAATGATATATGAACGCAACACGGACCAAATACTTCTAAACGAACCAAAAACAGGTAGTAATAACAAGATGCGACATGATTTGACGACGCGGTGTAACCAAAACAAAATGAGCAGAGGGTAAACGTGGAGCAACGGTGAGGTAAAGTGCCTTTTATGAGCTCCTTGTGAGTTTGCAGGTGGTGAAAAGAAAATATGTACACAAGAATGAGCGCGCTTAGTCCAGCAGGCGGCATTAGGTGTGTTCGTCTTAAAGTGGCGCTGAGCGGACCGATTAGTTAATGGATGCTTTGATATCATACACCCGCAGCGCTGCTTTAAGTCTAAGGCACCTTTTGTTTGGGGTGTTCGGTGAGTTCCGTCCTGATATATACGTCATTCAAGCCGACCAATCAGGTTGTGAACACATCACTATGCCTTTAGGTTCGCTGTCAAAAATGCCAATGTGAACGCTAAGCGGACCAGTACCAAATGTATCATTTTCCTTTTTGGTCCGGACCAAACGAACCGAACTGCAAGTGTGAGCGCACCCTTAAATTCCAAACCTTACTACATATACAGTTTCTGTTGAACTTTTTTTAGGGAGTGAAATTGTATGAGTGGTAATCTTTAGAATATTACTGATCGGTGATTCTTCAGTTGGGAGTATCTTGTATCTGTCCATACAAGAATATCTCAAATGTAAATAAAGGATTTATCTCAAGTAAGCTCTCTCAAGTGTCCCTAAATGAAGAATCACCTTAATGAGCTAGTAATTCTGAGTATTGTAGTTTCTGCTTCACTATATGCAGATTATAACTGTTGCAATATGATGATTAAGTTATTTATTTATAAATGGAATAACTTATAATGTCAAAGCTAGAAATTTAACACTCAATGTTTTATTAAAAGAGTCTGACCGCCTGCCCCTTTTGCTGGCCATGGTGTCCCCCTTCCCTGGGCCCCTGGGCAGACCATTAAAGCGAGCCAATGTGAAAGAGGACCGCTTTTCCCATTAAGCCGGGTGGTGAGGATCTCAAGGGGTTTAGGAGATGTGGTTTGAGCTCTTTTAGGTGTTTTGGTTTTGTTTCTTTTGACATTTTCCCTTTCCCAAAATAATTAATCTCTTAAGTACAGCGTAAGTATGTTATTTGGTGGAATGTTTTCAGTTCTTGAAGATAGTTCACCTAAAAATGATTGACATTTACTCAATCTCATGTGATTCTAAAACATAAAATTCAGTTTGTACATTACTGTGCTCTAGTTGAAGTAAGCTCAGTTTCTTAAACCATATATAAAACTTACCTTTTCTATAATTTCATAGCTTTTTGTAGATTATTGCTGTCTTTAAATGTTACTGTGTCTGAAATCCACAGAGTCTTAAAGGCCAGTGTGGAGACTCTGTTGTGTTTTTCCTTTCCTGAACGCTGTGCATCTTACTCTCGTCACTCTGAAGGTAGTCGGTATGGTCGTGGAGGAGGGGAAAGGTTCGGCCCACCCACTCGCACAGATTACAGGCTGATTGTGGAAAATCTCTCCAGTCGCTGCAGCTGGCAGGACCTGAAGGTACAGAAACACTTTTTAGTTTCACATTTTTAGTCTTAAGGCCGTTCCACACTGAGCGAGAAGGCGAGGTACAATTAGCATCAATCTACACTTGAAAATGTATGTAATTATTCATGCATTTGCTTAAAACCCACTTTAAACCATCATCGAGTGCTTGTAGTAACTGATTGTGATCTATAGATTAATAACGCCACTCTGCTTATTGTTATAAACATCCTTTATTGTTATAAAAATACCATGAGCTGCATACAAAACACTTACAGAAAATATATCGTCATACTACATTTAAGTCACATGTCTATTTGCTTTCATATTTCATGTGTAGAAAAATGTTTCCCTTGATTTTTTAAAATTTATTTTTTAATACGGAATATCTAGAGAGTGAAGGCGCTCTGACTCGTGTAACACTCACACACATGGGAGAAAATGGACAGTGCTCTCCAGATCACATAATTCAGTGGAGAATTAATAGAAATTATATTAAGAACATGTGAGAATAAATCTGTTCTCGGATAAGAACTCCTCTTCTCTCTCAGAATACTCTTCTTCGGTGTTATTTGTTTACACTGGTTTTCGAAACCGTGCCACCACTCCCTTTTGTGCAACAGCAGCTGCTCCAGAAACGTGATCTAAGCTCAAATGTAATTGGACAGCCCGTTTCATCGCGGAGCGACAGGAAAAAAAATCTACACACAGGACGGAAAAAATAAAAAAAACGAGCTTTTCCGCGCAGCGAATGATTGTGCCTGGTGTGATGAGTCGCATAGGGATCTATTATTTCGATTCAAAAGCATCATCGCGCCGAACTTTCGCGTTCAGTGTGAAAAGGCCTTTAAGTGTTATGTTTGCTGAGGGAAGCCTAACTATTATTGTTGCATGTTATGGCTGCCAATAGCAAAGTCACTTTTTTTTTCTCCCTCTGTATTAACCCTTGTGCATCAATTTAAGATACATTGAGGTCCTTAAAGGAGAGGCGGGGCATAGAGGAACTACAATAATGTACAGTATTTGAAAAATGTGTTTTTCTGTTACACCAAATACACCAAATAATGATCTTTAAAAAAGCATCATATGACCCCTTTAAGCTGACATCGTGATTACCCCCCACCACCTGTCCTGCAATCTGCCGCATCACAGTTCCGTGTTCGGAAAGGAAATTAAGTGTACTACAGAAACCCTAAAGGGAATAAATGGCCTACGGGATGGGAGGATGAAAAAAAAAATTTCAATACTTTTCTCGCAATCTATATTGGTGCGACTGTATATAAATTGCGGGCATCAGGGAGCCCCTAGTGAAACCGCTTTTGATTGCGCGCTCTCATTTTACTGTCACTTTCACTTTTGAGATTCGCAATCACAAGGACTCTATACTATGGAGCGGCAGTACTTACCACACATTTGACAAGATTAGATGTTTGTCATTGGTGCTCGGGATCTGTAAATCATTCGCCATCAGACATTTCTCCTTACTCTGTGTATGTGGTAAGTGAACTTTCATGTACTGTAATGCAACAGGCTACCGCTAGCAAGCGGCTAACCTTTTAGTGGCTCTGTAGAACGTGTTATTTTTTTCTTCGGGCACACCCCTAATACCGCTAATTGTTTTACAATATATGGCTATTACTGTATAGGTATAACAATAATATAAAGTTGTTATTATATTCTAATTTGTTTGGCTTCCTAAAACACCAGTGTGAATGTAATTTAGACTGAAACAGTATATCACAAATAAAAAGAGTGTTGAGTCACTTTTAAAGTTCAGGTATAAGCAATTCGCTGACTTTTTCCTGAAGTTTTCTTAGTTAAGATCATGGGTTAGCGCTCTTAATTTTGAACTGTCAAAGTGCATTAGAATAATTTAACTTTAAAATGTGCAAAATTTTCATTGTTTTTCCCAAGTCTTCATTTGTCTTTTTTTAAATATTGCAATAAATATCATAACCAGGGCTCCAGACTGTGACCAAAACGGTCGCATTTGCGATCAAAAATATTAATTTGCGAGTGAATTTCTTCTTTTGCGGAGGTCGCCACTGGCGACAATACATGTTATGACTTAAAAATGTGCATGTAATGCCTTTTTTTCCTGGTTGTTTTGCGATCACATCTTTTATGTTCACGTATTAAACTGAGACGATGCACATCAAAGTTTTAGTTGAGAAAAAAGTTTCAAACAGTCCTCATCTCTGCAGCACAGCACAGCAGCGCTGACACACACAGTCTGATAAACGCAGCTCAGTTGTGCAGTGCGAGAGAGATCGACATGACGGAGACGTGTGAGGAAAAGTGCACAACTTGAACAAGCTACAACCGGTAAAGCGGTCAGCTGTGTGGATATTATCGATATCATTAACAATTTTCGTTTATAATCATTACTAATATGGCTTCTTATCCTTACTCGATTTGTTTATTGTCTGGAGCCCTGATACCGTAGACTTTATAAAGATATCATATCGTGAGATTTTTGATATTGTTACATCCCTAGTCATTAGTGTTATATATTTTTTCTGCTTTCACTGACATTTTGTTTACCAACATCAGTTCTGATCATAAGTACTAAAACAATTTTTCAGGATTTTAACCCTTTAAGTACCAGCTTGTTTACATAATGTCACTGTCAATGTTGTTCATTTTTCATTTACTAAATGCTAAGCAGAATTTTGGGTGGATTATTATAGTCTTGGATAAGTCATTGATTAGAAGCGTCTTTAATATTTTGATGCATCCATTTATTTATTTTTTATTTTTTAAAACATCTACCATTCCCACAAATTTCTCAGTACATGCATACAATCTACACTCTGAAATCCATACACAGTACACCCACAAAATAATTTTAATTACATAGTTTCAATTCAACTGGCCCGTTTTCCAGTAGAGAAAAAAAAAATCTAATATTTGCGTCGTAGGTCAAACCTGAGAAAATGGTATAAAATATATAGTGTAATTTTGAAGCCTTGCCAAAAAAATTAAAGCCTATATACAAAGAATGCACGAGTTTATGCTTAAATGGCATTGAGATTAAATATTGCTGTTTTAATAGGTTTCAGTCGGTACATTTTTGTCCTTAAGGTCCTGAGTATAATCTTTTTGTGCATATTGTAAAATAGATTTATGAAAGGAAATAATAGTGAAATATTAACATTTCAATAAAAACACATTTTGGCAAAATGCATGCTTTTTGCATTAACAAAAAAAGACCCTAAGGATGCACAAGGGTTAAACTATTATGTACTTTAAGCCTTATTTATTTTTTAAAACATCTACCATTCCCACAAATTTCTCAGTACATGCATACAATCTACACTCTGAAATCCATACACAGTACACCCACAAAATAATTTTAATTACATAGTTTCAATTCAACTGGCCCGTTTTCCAGTAGAGAAAAAAAAAATCTAATATTTGCTTCGTAGGTCAAACCTGAGAAAATGGTATAAAATATATAGTGTAATTTTGAAGCCTTGCCAAAAAAATTAAAGCCTATATACAAAGAATGCACGAGTTTATGCTTAAATGGCATTGAGATTAAATATTGCTGTTTTAATAGGTTTCAGTCGGTACATTTTTGTCCTTAAGGTCCTGAGTATAATCTTTTTGTGCATATTGTAAAATAGATTTATGAAAGGAAATAATAGTGAAATATTAACATTTCAATAAAAACACATTTTGGCAAAATGCATGCTTTTTGCATTAACAAAAAAAGACCCTAAGGATGCACAAGGGTTAAACTATTATGTACTTTAAGCCTTTAGGAAGTCAGTCCTGTAAACCTGATCAGTGATTTGTTCTTGAGTCACTAATGTGTCATGGATTCACAGGACTACATGCGTCAGGCTGGTGAGGTGACTTATGCAGACACTAACAAGGGCCGCAAGAACGAGGGGGTCATTGAGTTCAGGCAGTACTCGGACATGAAAAGAGCCCTGGAGAAACTGGACGGCACCGAGGTCAACGGAAGGAAGATTCGGCTCATCGAGGACCGGCCTGGTGCCAGACGCCGCCGCTCCTACTCTCGCAGCGCCTCCAGGTGCAAACAAATCAATTTTAGAATTGAATTACGTTGTAAATGTGGGAGACATTTAACTGATGGTTAACTAAGACTTTGCATGTCACAACGTGATGTCAGGATATTAGTGATAGGCTAAGTGAACTTTGCTTGTAGTAAAAGCTTCTTTAGAGTTTCACAGTGAACACGTGTGTAAAGTTTCTTGCTCTCATCTCTCAGGTCTCGCTCCAGGAGCAGGAGGTCTCGCAGGAGCCGAAGCCACAGCCGAACCAGTAGCCGCTCAAGGTAGACCACTCAAGTGAATTAAGACTTCAGTTTTCCACTATGTGAACTTAAAGAGAAATATAATGACTTTGTTTTAGAAAACATTTAAAGCTCTGGTTGGTTGTGTGCAATAAAATGCTTTCATAGGATATTATACAGAAGTCCTTCTTAAGCATGTTAATGCACTCGGTGCTCATCTTGGTAACACCTTTTGCAAATTTTGTGGCCATGCAGGCACCGCTCATATACTTAACTTGAGACGTCATAGGGGTGAGAAATATATCTATTGAATTATGAAACTGTAAATTTGAGTATTTTAGTGGAGTATTATGGTTGTGCAAAATGGTCAGAAATTACTCTTCCAAGGCCTGGGTGATAAATGGTATCGGGATTTATTGACGGTACACCTTCATCGATAATGATAGAAAAAATGTTCAATATAGCGCACGATATTGGCAACGTGCTATGAATGACAAGCAGACTAGGGCTGCCACTAACGACTATTTTTATTTCGATTAATCTATCGACTAATTTATCGATTCATCTAAATTATTAATTTCCCACAAAAAAAAAAATGTTTTGAAGAACATTTTATTAAACTTGCAACTTTGCCATTCAGTAGTGTACCATAAAAAAGTATATATGTAAACAAGCCATATTGACAATGTAAAACTAAAAGAGTAAAAATGTAAACAAACCTAATTAAAATAAAATAATTACAAAAGTCTGAGAAAGTCAGCATGTTCTTAATGTCAATATCCACATGTTCTGGGCTTCTGTTCATTACAGCTGTGAGTGCAACAACAAAGGGGAAAATAATCTGTTTCAATTAACCCCAACAGTTGGGTTTTCACATGAAAAAAATGCAATGTTTAGAGTCCACTAAAATCAAGTATTAAAATTGTATTATTAAAAATTAAGTAGCCTATTAAAAGTACTCTTAGAAATGTGTAAACAACAGAAGCAAGTGTCCATCTCATTGTCCAAATCACTGAAATCAAAGTTCAGTATTATAGTGTAAGAATGACAACGTGTCCGTGTTCTGGTCTACTAATAATAAAATATTATAATAATTAATTTTTGTGGTAATAAAAACAGACGTAGGCTAAGTGAACAATAGCCTTTTAAGTTACTTAAAATACATATATAACAATGAGGCAATAATAATTAGTTCAAATAAAGTATCAAAAGCAAGAAATCATATGGTTTTATTTAACAAAACTGTTAAAATACTGTATTATAATGTAATAGAGCCACTGATCTATATATAATTATATATAATCTCCATTATAGATCAGTGAATAGAGCTAATGTACAGTACGCATTACAACAAAGGCCCGGAGGGGGCGCCAACGGCCTGACGATTGTTTTTACACATTACTGTGCGATCTAATACTTGTTTAATATTGACCAAGCATCATTTAATTCAAATGTCCACTTAATCTTTAATATTTGGCCATTGCTTTACGACAGAAATGCTATAGCCACTGTAAATGAATGAATGTGGACATCAAAACGTGTAAACTCAGAGTGAGGGTTTGAGATATTATTTTAAAACCGCGAGATAATGACGTGTTCTCCTGTGTTTGCGTTGATTTATAAATGATTTACCTTACAAATCTGATGAACTGGTGCACGTTGCATTCCCAGATGAACGTTATAATAATCCCAAACTCACAACAACATGCACAGATGGAGTTTGAGACGCTCCACACATGTAAATGATAGCAGTTCCTGTGAACGGAGCCGCTGTGAGACGCACGTGCGTAACCTACACGCCTATAACTGCATCACATATAATTATTTAATTAAATCGTTATGCTTAATTATGATTTTTAAATGGGTTTAATATATCATGAGGCCTTGGAAAACAGTCTAATAATGTGTTTTATGGATTCTTGCCCGTGAAATGCACCAGTTTCCGGTATTTTGCCGTTAGTCATCGCAGGCAAAATGAAGTCGAGGATTTTTTTTAAATTGAATAGTCGAATAGAACCGACGAATCGTGACCGCCTTAAAGCAAGACCGCACACAAGAACACTTGATGAAATGAGTGCTGTGCCTGCCTGTGAGGAAGAGATTGTGAATAAAAAATATATATTAGTCGAATCTGAAATACAAATTTGCATTTGAATGCAAAAAAAAGTGCAATCGAATGTTAGGTGGGTGTCGGGGAGAGTCATCAGCGGCCCACGAGATGCAGTGATGTAAGTGTCGTTGTTGCATTTTAATGTTTTGTTAGTTTAACCCACGAGACGTGCCGCTGCTGCGTTATTCATTTAAGATATTAGAGAAATATAATAGCTCAATGCGGAGAAAATTGATTAGGTTAAAGGGGTGGTTCACTGTTTTTTTTTTCTAGGCTTGATTGTGTTTATGGGGTGCAGTCTAACATGTGTTAATGCTTATCTTTTTTTAAAACGCATTTTTCACATAATTGACCTTTATCCCACACCGCTTTGTCCCTTCTCTAAGAAACACGCTGATCATTTCTTGCTTTGATGAAGCCCCGCCCTCAGAAATAGGCGATGGGCTTTGATTGGTTAGCTGGCCCAGTGTGTTGTGATTGGCTAAACCGCCTAGTGTGCGTCTAAGCGTCCCGCCCCTCACCTCAGCGGCATGTGCTCCGGTTGTATTGTAAACAGCGGCATTGTTAATATCGCTTATCAGTTTGAGCCCGATTGAGAAGCAGAGGATATTATTGAAGAAGATCATGCAGAACCTGTGCAAGCACGGCTTTTAATGGTAGGCCTATGTTTTTTGTTGTTGTCATACTTTTAGATACGCTGTTATTTGTAAATGCTACTGCTTATTAGTGCTGTTCGATATATCGCTACGACGATTTATCGTCACAGAGATTTGACGATACGAGTATCGATACAGCTGTCCCAGTATCGATATTGTGGCACGTGTGCAGCAGTGGACCGCGCTTAATTTGAATACGAGAACAGTTTAAAATGTAGTAGAAAAGTGCAAGGTTTCTAAAAAATGATGAATAGAGCATAATATATAGGCTACAGCAAGGTTTAATCTGGCCGCAGAGGAACTCAACCGGGGTTACCTGATATAGAGAGATGTAATCTCCGAAACAGAGCTTCACATTTGCGCAATACAGAAATATCTGCTAAGTGTGCTACTTATCTTTGTCAACCTGGCAACCATGTGCACGCGCTCTCTCTCTCCACTGGGGACCACAGCGTGCTTTCTGAAAACACTGGTTAGCTTGCAGTTTAGCGATCTCCACTATTCTATTCTCAGAAAAGTGTAATTCATCAAGTGTTCATTTATGAGAGGGAGCGAGAGAGGCTGTGTATGTATGAATTACCACCGTTTTGCCGCATTTCTCTAACTGTGAAGCTGTGGCTTTAATTCCATTAGAAACAATGATGTTTCCAGCTTCTTGCTGAGAAAGATAATGTAGCTCTTAAGCGATTAAGCTATTTAGTTGATAAAATTGCAAGGCAGGCGGCAGAGCTAAAAAGTTTGTTCTTGAATGTCTTGAGTGCGGCCGCAACGTGATCTGTGTGAGTGGCTGAGCGTGTGTGCGTTAGATACAGAAGACAGCGCATTAGTTTAGAACTCTTCTAATTTTTAGTTTTTTAAATGTAGAGAGTGTTAATTTGTGCTATGATAACCTACCAGCAATGTAAATATGATTTTTTAATATATTAGAATGAGTACATTACAATATAAATTTATTAGAAAGAGTACATTATTATTTATGGGCTTAAAAACAAGATGCAAACAATCAGAATATTGTACCTGGTGGGGAGTGCACAATATAAACATGAAACATATGGCATTACCTATATTGTACTGTGGTACAGTTATGGAGGCCCTTCATAATGCAGAGGTCAACTGCCTGCTCTGCCAATAGTTAG